CGAGAGCCGTATCTTGCCGGAGGCGACCTCGAAGCTCAGGCCTGTGAAGGTGGTGTCCGAGCCAGCCGCCCCCACGCCCTTGCACTTCAGGCCCAGCGCCTCCAGCTTCGCGGCGACCCGCTTGCAGTCGGAGGTCACCAGGTCGGCCTCCAGCCCCACCACAGCCACTCCGTCCACGTAGACGGCCACCCGGTTGCGGTCCGTCACCGACGGGGCTGCACGGCGGTCCTGGATGAAATCGGAAAGGGCGAGGCCAGCAGCCTGGACACCAGCCATCACCATGCATTGGCAAAAGTAAAGACTCCACGTCCACCCCATGGGAAGCACCTCTAGGCAAGATGACGCCCACGTCTCGATCCCCGGCGGAAGCTGATCTGAGAGGTCAGGCCTCAGCTTCAGCAGGGTGGGAAGGTGGACAGCTCTCAAGACGAACATCTCCTGCGCCCCCCGCGGCAAGCCGATCCTGTAGAACGCGTTGTCCACGTCGGCCTGGGCGAGGTGCAGCTCCTGGTCCATCGGGATCTCCAACGCCGACCAAGCCCCCGCCGTCGGGGGCACTGTGTGCGCTGGAGCTTCAAACAGGTCATTGGCGCGCCGAGGGTCAATAATTAAACGCTGCATACCATTCGATTTGTGCACAAAGAAGGCGCCCACGGTCTCCTCTCGCTGCTGCTTCAGGGAGACCGCGCCGGCGTCCAACAGGTCACCGACAAACTGGGCGCAGGTAGATCGGGATGGGAGAACAAAAAGCCGACACCGGCACCAAGAAAGTATTTGTTCCGCGAAATTTTGAATTGCGCTTTGGACCAGGGTGGCCCCGCCCTGGCCCGAGGAAACGCAAAACAGCCAGGGAGGGCGGGGGAAAGGAGTTGCCGCGAAGCAGGTAGGAAGGAGGACAGGAAACAAAAAGTGCAAGCGAGAAGCGAAACTGGCGGGCGCTCTCGGGAGAGGAGGGAGAAAAGAGGGAAGAATGCGGCATCCTCCATGACCGAAGCCTCACTCCCCCCACCGCCGCCCTCCCCCACGCTTCCCCCCGCCCGCTCGCCCCCCTCACACGCCCCCCCCCCCCTCCCACACCCGCCCTCTGTCCGCCCGCGTCGCATCCCTGACCCTCGATTTGCCCGAAGCCAGCACCCGACGATTCCGAACCGCCTGCTTCCCGCGAGTGGGGGCGGCGGCCACCCTGCGCGTTTGGGGCCAAAGAGTGTGGTTTACTCTTGACCCGGGCCGGCAGCCCCTGGCAAACTTCCGACATCGTCGAGGGGTTCAGCTCGCCCACGGGGCCGCCGATCCAGAGGAGGCCTTGGTGCTGGCGTCGGCTTTTTGATGTTGCAGTGAACGAAAAGCCGGCACCAGCACCAAGACGCCACTGGAAAAGTTGGCAGCGGTTTCCCTGTGGGGGTTGAGCGATCCAAAGGAGCCTGGAAAGCTTGAGATGGTTGGCATTGCTCTCCGAACTTGCAGGCCATGGGGCTTGCATGATAGAAAAGCGTCCCATGGGGCTCATGGCGCCCCTAGGCCCCATGGGGCTTCCAGGCCCCATGGGGTTTCCAAAGTCCGCGGGGCGCGCCAGGCCCAGAAACCCGATGTGGCCCTGACGAGTCATGGAGCCCATGGGGCCCGCGCGGCTCGCTAGGCCAGCGCGGCGCACTTGGCCCATGCGCGTTGCGTCGCACGTGCGGCCCAAGAAACCTTTGTGGGTTCGCGCGGCTGGGTTCGCACGGCCCACGGCCCTCGCGCGGCCAATGGAAATCCGAACGCCCACCTGGGGAAATAGCAACGGCCCGCCTTGTTCCCACGCGCTCAGAGCTGGCATTCATCAACGCGGGACACGCGAGCCCGAAGACACGGGCGACGGCAGTCAACGGAGGCTATGATTTTTTCTTTTCCAATGGGATCTCGGTGTTGGTGTCGGGTTCCGGTGCGCCGACGGGAACGGAACTTGCCGTCGTAGTGGGGCTTGGGCGCCTGGCTGCCGCCCTCGGGCTGTCGCTTCAACAGCTGCCTCCATCCTACCCATTGCTGTAAAGCTTCTCCCTCCAGGATGCGGCCCCCATCGGCGAGGCCGCCCCCCTTCGGCAGAGAGACCAGGGACCGGTCGTAGGACGCGATGTGCTCCGGCTCGAAGACGTAGCCGTGCCCAGATCCGCACAGCTCTCGGTGGGCTGCCGCGGCGTTGCAGGCTGGCGGCGGCCCGGCATCCTCCACCACGCGCCTGGCGTGCTCCAACCCGCACTCCTGCGCGAGCGAAGACTTGCCCTTGGCGGGCAGTGACCCGTGGCCGTACAGCTAATTGAAACCAGAACTTCCTGCACCCAGGCGTGGAGGTGCTCCTCCTTGCGGAGACGGCTCCTCGCAGCTCGGCTGCAGGCGCCCACTGGGGGCGCGGGCGGCGGGCCCGCAGGGGTGGCCGCTGGAAGCAGCCCCCGCGGGACCGCCATGGGAACCTCGTAGGCTACTTGGCCCCCCGGCCGCCACCGCGGCCGCGTCCCCCGCCAGCGCTTCCGTCGCCAGCAGGTGCAGTCTCACCGACCTTGTCCATCAGCCTACGGATCTCGGCGGCCTGGGCGTTCACCTTCTGCTGCAGCCCCTGAGTCGCCGCCGTCGAGCTCCCACCTGCACCCCCTCCGCCGGGGGCACGGCTTGCCTGCCGCTCCTTCTTCAACTTCCTGCGCTCCTTCATTACGGCAGCCTCCTTGTGGAGCTGCTCGGTGATGTGGTCCGAGAGGTCCGGGCTCACCATCGCCAGGCCGCGCGTGATGCCGGCCCCCATGTAGAGGAACTCATCCTCCGCGAACTCGCCCCCGCCGTGCTTCCCCAAGATCTTGTCGCGATACCTCATCTCCGTGAGCTGCGCTCTCCTCAAGAGGAGCTCGAAACTCGCCAGCTCCGTGATGTTGAGCTGGTCGTGCACCACGGCCAACTCTATCATTATCATCGCCAGGTCGTGGTCCTGACAATCGATGTCCTGGCCACCCACCCCCGCTTCATGTCTCCATTTCGTGTGCCGTGCGCGGGGGTGGGTGTCTTGCTCAGCAATGAAGTCGAGACACCACCGAGCGGTCCTGGGGCCAAGGATTGGCCACGCCGCCCAGCTTGTCTCGGTCATCTCTCTCACACTATATTTGAACGGACGCCGTCTCTCTCCACTCGAGCTCTGGACGATGCTGAGCACGCGGGCGTCTGAGTCCAGGTCGTCCTCGACGCCTGAGCTCCTCCGCAGCAGCAGCAGCACCTCTGAGCCCTTCACGGCGAGGGCGCCGACGTCGCAGACAGCGAACTCGTCCACGTTCAGGCTACCCGGCAGCGACTTGCGGGGGGTGCCGCCCGTGCTCCAGACGACCTGCCAGCCGTCGGGCGTCGGGGACGGCAGCGACCGCGAACCGACCTCAATCAGATTCGCCGCCACTCCACCCCCAGCTGCCGCTGCTCCCAGCCGTGGCTCCTGCCACTGGTCGCCGAGGGACAGCTTGATCATCTTGGCGAACTCCAGCGGCGTGGCGCTCCAGTCCGTGCCATACACGCGCGTGCGGTTGGTGAACCAGGTGCCGAGGAGTGTCGCTCGGTCTGGTCGGCCCTCGTCGTCGCACAGGATCAACCCGCTGAGCGGACCCACGTCCAGACAGTGAGGGTAGGCGTCGCCGTCCGGCGTCCCGCACCACCATATCTTCCCAGCCGCTATCTGATCGGGAGTCGCTTGAACCTCCATGATAATCAGCAGCTCGTCGGCGGTGGCGGGAGCGATGGCGACGCGGGCCTGCCAGTCCTGCCCATCCCTCCACTGCACGAGCAGCCTCCTGCCTGCCTCCACAGCCATGGGGACACCCACAGCACAGCGCACTCGCCAGGAGGAAGCCGAGGATGAACGAGGTGCTCGCCAGGCCACGCGTCCCGCCGAAGAGGTCCAGCACAGCTACGCACTCGCCCGTGCTTGCCACCACGGGCGCCAACACACTCCTGACTGTCTGAGAGGCCTCCCAGCCTCGGGAGAGTATGTTCCAGGAATTGGAAAGAAGGGCAAGCTGCATGCGGGCTAGCCGCAAACTAATGCACTTGAGCCCGATGTCCATGGATGCACATCGGTTTATCGAGGCGCCTGCGCTACAATTTAGAGCACTAACGTTTGAAAAACTGAACCCTATATGGAGTGCCATTGTCCTCAATTGACCTGTCAATAACGCAAAAGAAAAACGCCGTGTAGGGTATGAGACGGGCCGCCTCGGGCCCAGATTGCGGGGAACTTTCAAGCGAAACGCCCATTTGGGATGGTAGAGGTGTGTGTGTGTGTGTTTTCTCGGAGCCGCATGGGCACCGCGATGAAGCAAATATGGCATGTGGATGTCCCCAGGAGCAACCCAATCGAATCGCGTGCATGGTCGAACCGCTCGGATATAATCCCATCTGTGGAAGAGGGGAGTCACCCTTATCGAGCGTGCTCGAATCGACTACAGGCGCAGACGCTGGTATTCGTTATCGAATGGATCGAATGGTGGACAGCCCTGCTTCCCTCGCCCCTCCATTTCCCATTGCACTGGACGCGTGCTCGGAAGAAACGCTCCTGCATCGCTTTCCACAACTAGGAACTAGGAAGAGGAGAAGGGGGACGTACCCGCACTTCCTCCTCCTGCTCCTTCTCCTCCTCCTCCTCCTTCTTCGAGCGCTGCCGCGGCTTCTCCTCCTCCTCCCCCTCCCCCTCCCCCTCTCCCTCCTCCTCCCCTCCTCCTCCTCCTCCCCCCGCTCCCCCTCCTCCTCCCCCTCCCCCTCCTCTTCCTCCTCCTCCTCCTCCTCCTCCTTCTCCTTCTCCTCCTCCTCTCTCTCTGCCTCTCCGTCCATTTGCGTGCCATACTCCTCGTGCTTGTTCCTGTGCGTCTCCTCAAGCGCCTCCTCCTCCTCCTCCTCCTCCTCCTCCGTACGGTTTCGATTCTCCTCTTCCTGCTCATCTAGGACAGACGCTGCCCGCACCATGGAAATCGCTTGGGGGAAATCTCGACGCGAGGTGCCTGCGGCGTTGCTGGCGTGCGCCGCGTCGCACCTACGCCTCGAGCAGGCCCGAACAACCTCCTCTTCGTCTGCTGGCACCTCCTCGATGCGCGGCCCGCGGGGGCTCCACCTGCCTGGGGAGGACGCCAGCCAAACACCGACGCAAGTCTTGGCCTGAAACCAGGATCGGTGCATACGCACTCCTCGCGAGACTCCGAGGGCAAATACGACCCAAAGTTGCCGTGGCCAGGGCCAGTGGACAGCCGGCGTCCCCCGATGCCTGGAGAGGCGCCGCGCATGCGCTTCTGCGGCGACGGCGTGAAGAGGACGGGGTCCGCTGCGGCGCTGGCAACCTCGGAAAGCGGCAGGCGGGACCTCTTTTGTGGCGCGCCCTTGCTCAAAGGGATTTTCGGCGGAGCGGCGCGGAGATCTGGACGCATGTTCACTGCGGAAGGCCGCAGGGGTGGGCTTTTGATTTCAGGGGCCCTCTGCGGTAAACGCAGTCTATCTTCAATCACATGCCTGTCCGCTGCGTAGCCCTTACCGCGAGTAGGGAGAAAAGAAGGTGGAAGGAGCAGACGGGACGGAGGAAGGGAAAAAGGAGGGAAGAGGATGGATGGGAGAGGCGGTGGGATGAAAAGAGCCAGAAGTAACGAATGAGACCGCATTCGGGGCAAAGGGGAAAAAACGGATGGAGGAGGATGGAGAAAGACGGCTGAAGAGCAGGAGGGGAGAGGAATTGTGGGAAAGGCATCAGATACTTGAACTAGAACCACGCGCGCGCTTCGCGCGCGCTTAGGTTCTAGCTAAGATCGTCACCGTCGTCATCATGAACATCACCATCGCCATCACTCCCCTCGCCAAGGCTAATGTACATCGTTTCTGGATGCTTCTGGCCGGAATACGAAAGGAGTTTCTGTAGTTAGAGTCTCTGGGGGAAGTCGCGGGGAAGCTTTTGTTGTATTTGGTGTTGCGTCGCCAGGAGGTCTGGGCTCCCTCCTCCTCGTGTTCCTACCTCCTCTCTGGACGTCCGATGTCGTGATGCTTTCTGTGCGCGGCCCCTGGACCTTTCGACGACTTCCTGGGGATGTTTTTTTTTTTCATCCTGAGTCGTTTTCTGACGGTCCCGGGACCCTGCGAGGGGCCCCGGAGGCCGAAAATTGACCGAAACCGCCGTCGTGATTTTTCCAAGACGTCGGAGGTCCAGGTCGTGCTTCCCGCCTCCCCAGACCTCCGACGTCGTAATTCTTGCGACCTCGGGCCCAGGAATCGATTGGGAAAACGCACATGGGAAGGCAAGAAATGATGGACCCATCATTTCGTACCTGTGCCTTGATCAGTGGGACGGGCTTCGCACCGCCGCACATCACAAGACACGCTCGAGCGAATCCAGCCGTGGCGACGTCGGGGACTGCAGAAGGTCGCAAGGACACGGAATATGAAAGGAAGAAAGAGAACGAGAGAAAAAGAGAGGGAGAGAGAGAGAGAGAGAGAGAGAGAGAGACAGACAGACAGAGAGCGAAGGAGAGAGAGAGAGAGAGAGAGAGACAAAAAAAAGATAAAAAAGAGAGATGGAGAGAGAGAGAGAGAGAGAAGAAGAAGACAGAGAGAGATAGAGAGGCAGAGAGAGGAAATGGAGAGGAGGCGAGCTTGAGTCAACGAAAGTCGCAGGGAAGGGGGCAGGGGAAAGAAGGCCAGAGAGCGCTGAAGGATACAAATACTGGAACCCTCTTGGGATTTTTTGGGGGGCCTCGTCCGGCCGCTCGCTGGGAGTTTGACGTAGCTTCTTGGGAGCCTCTGAACCTGTCGGGGGCCTCCTGGAAGCAGGTTCGAAGCATTTTGGGGGCCGATTTGGGGCTTCTCGGGGCCTCCTTTGGGCCTCTTGGGGGTCTCCTGGGGCCTCTTGAGGGGCCTCCTTGGGGCCTCCTGGCGGCCTCTTGGGGCGGAAGGCTCGAGCTTGCGGTTCGTGGTCCCCCTCTGGGCCCCCTCTTGGGCCCGTCTTGGGGCCCTCTTGGGCCATCTTGGGCGCCTCTTGGGCCGTCTTGGGGCCCTCTTGGGCTGTCCTGGGGCCCTCTTGGAAGCTTCTTGGGCCGTCTTGGGGCGGTCTTGGGCGCCTCTTGGGCCGTCCTGTAACGTCGGAAAGCCCAAAAGGCAACTTTGTTGAAAATGCACGTTTTACTAAGGGAATGGGCAAATTTTTGCGTCTAGGGGCCCTCTTGGGACGCATGTTGGAGGCTTCTTGGGACCTCTTGGGGGCGTCCTTGGACGTCTGGAGGCCATCTTCAGCATCTCGGAGCCCTCTTGGAAGTTTCTTGGGCCGTCTTGGGCGCTTCTGGGGCCCTCTTGTCTGACCGGGGAGGCCTCCGGCAAGCCCCGACGAGCCTCCGGGCCCCCCGGAACCCACATTTGCGGTCGAGGTCCCGGCCCCGGGCCCCCGGACCCGGTCCCCCGTTATATGTATATGCTCGAGATTTCCCAGATAACTCTGGCCTGGGTAGCTCCAGTTTGGGCCCCCGACGCACGAACAAAGGGTTACAGCTGACAAACCCTAGCCCCCCAAATACGGGAATGGTTCGACGCCCAAATTATCCAGGGTAGCTCTGGTCCGGGGCAACTCTGGTCTGGGCCCCCGAAGCATAACTCAGGAACTACCGCTGATCACCCCGAATCCTGATGTTTCGGGACTCAGAGAGAATCACGGAGCAAAACAATATGGACCTTGCTGAAGAATGAAAAGCTGGGGCCAGTATGGGGGACCGCCACTTTGGAGGACATGCCCTCTCCTCCTGTCTCAGTTCCCTCATCTTTTTCCCTTACCCCGCTTCACTTTTAAATTGTCCGTCCTCGTGGCATCATCATCTTGCGTATGTTTTCTCCTTTTATCAATTCGTCTAAGCCTGCTTGGGAGGCCAAACCAGAAGCTTCGCCTAAGGCGACGCACGCGCCAAACTCCGTTGTACCGCATCAACGATCGTCCCAGAAGTAGGAAGGAACACCACGAGCGGCGGTACATCTAAAGAGTAAAGGGTGGAACCTTTTCTGTCTCGATGTAAGGTAGCGGGCCGCGGTGCGGCCCGGTCACACAGGTGGCCGCTCGCTTGGGCCACGCAAGTGGCCACGGATACACGCTCGCTATCTTCCGTACTCTTCCTCCGTCAGAGTCGGGGGGGGGGGGGGGGGAAGACGAAGCGTGAGTCCGCTACAGATTTTATTCAGCGAAAACAAATCTATTACAAAGGGCAGCCAGCGGGCTCAACCATAGAAGGTTACCCCGCAGCTTTAATAAGCGCGGGCTTAATTTTCGCAGGTTGCCCCGCAGTTTACTAATCCTCGGACGGCCCAGATGGTTTTGTCTGGCCAACCCTGTAGGGAGCGTGTCGCTTCAAGTCGCGCTTGAAGGGTTGATTTCCCTCCATAACTTGTAAGAGCATATCTCTGTCAATGCTCCCCTTGGTGTGGCCATCTGCAATAATATCGCGGGTGTCACACCAGCGCACACAATGCACGACAAACCGCTCCATCATTTGCCGCATCCAGCTGATGTGGCCCAAGAATGTATATCCAATCGGATTATTCCGGTCTTTGCTTGGCAAGGACTTGAAAGCACATTCCGCATCAGTGGTCAGGGTGACCTTGATGCTGAGGCCGCCCATCTCAATAATATATTTCAATTGGTTGGGTGTCAACGGCCCTGCATGGAGTTCGCGTAGCGTGACAGTCGCGGGATAGCAGTCCTCATTGACGACAGGCTTGCCAGGATGCGTGCGTCCACGCCTTAGCAGGCTCGCCCGGCGAATACTATTGCCTTTGACCTCGTCATCATCATCGCCGATGGCGCGACGGTAGCCAGAATCGCTCTGCATATCGACCTCGCCCGTTGGTATCATCGCTTTAACAGCGATCTTCTTTGGGCAGGCCTGCAGCTCCCTGGAAATCGCATTGGGTCGTCGCGCTTGCATGTTGGTCGGTTCCTGGACGCGTTGTAGTCGTGCAATGTATACCATTCGCAACACTTGTGCTATGAGGGCGTAAGCCAACGCGCCTCTGTGGCTGACAAACATATCAGTGACCATTTTCATGCCATTGCCCCAGCATCTGCGCCCGTGAATTGGCGATGCTGGATTTGACAGAGCTGCTTTATATATACGTCTCGGTCAAGAGTGGCATTTCCGTCGCTGTCCTTAGCATGCCTCACAGCACAACTAGCATATGCATGCTTGTTGAGTTTAAACCCCCAGGGATATCCTCAACTCACTTGACGCACTTGTCGACGGTGTCCTCGGTGCCGGCCGCGTTTAGACCATCGACATGTTTGGCCGCGAGAAGGCAATGGGTCGGTTCTACTCCTCGTCGCGAGACGTGGGTCTGAGCTCGAAGCCTCTCGTGTTCTTCCTGAGCTTCAGTAAGAAGGCTCTTGGTGCATCTTTGGCGCCAGCGTCATGACTCGCCATCGTGCTCGAATCCTGGGAAAGAGATCTGAGCGCTGATGCTGAACCAAATGGCAACGTAAATCACGCCGCGCCTTCCTTTTCACCAGTCGCTTCAGCAAGCTCGTGACATGTGATTCCCTTTAAGAAAGCCAAGCTGATGTCAAGGGAAACAATGACCCACTGATTATTGCACGCTTCCGCGCTGGCAAGCAATCGCCGGCATGGTTGCAGCGCCGTTCCTGAGGATGTCTCTACACCGGAGGCTTCGAGGTCCATGCGCCGCAAGTGGCGGGGCTGCCGGTTCAGCAGGTGCTGCGGGCCCCTGCCCGTGGTTATCAGGCAGCTTCCACTGTTTGTACATGTACATTTGCCAGGTGTGAGTAAGTGGTCAGGCTTAGCTCTCCCATTGTTTTTTTTGCAGTTTGGACAGTCGCAGTAATGATCCTCTGTGTCGTTCCACCTAGAATGTTTGGGGCTTCTGCTTTGTGATCGGGAGTGCGAGTTGACGGTGCCAGCGCATGCAAGGCGCTCCCATCTGCCTGATGGTGGTCGCGCGATACGTCCGTCAAGATCTCGCAAGATCGCCGGGTCACCCAAGTCGAATCCGCGTGCGTTCGTGACAAGAACAGGTGACGATGACCATGAAACGTGCGGCGGCTACCCGCAAAGACGTCCTATGAAATTCGAACTGTCTCGACGAAGAGGGCTTGTATCTTCGGAGTGTACTGTGCTGCCTTTGCCCTTTCCTTGTTGCAGGCTGAGGCATGTTGGTGATGACCAGTGCACCGTTCGTTGTCGATGGGTGTCAGTGGTGAACGGTGACTGGCCATTTTTACAATAGGTTTGCGTATGCATATGCTGGAAATCACGAAGACCTGTAATGCATTGGTCTATGCTAATCTTGCGAGTGCCCTCGCGCTTCG